AAGGAAGGAAGGAAGGAAGGAAGGAAGGAAGGAAGGAAGGAAGGAAAGAAGGAAGGAAGGAAAGAAGGAAGGAAGGAAAGAAAGAGAGAAGCAGATAGAAAAAAGGAGACACAGAATCTGAGGCAGGCTCCAGGCTCTGAGCTGTCAGCACAGAGTCCAACATGGGACTCAAAACAGCCAACCACAGGATCATGACCTGGGCTGAAGTCGGAGGCTTATTAACCAACTGAGCTAACCAGGTTCCCCAAAACAAATATCTTAAACCATTAACTTTACATGTCAAAGAATTTTATTAAAAAAACAATTTTGGCAGAAGGAAGGAATAAAACAAAGATTGTAATGGAAATAAATGAAACAAAGACAAAAGATCAGCTTTCATTGTTTTTTTAAAAAAGATAAATAAAACTGACAAATCTTTAGTGAGACTAAGAAAAAGGGAAAACTAAAATCAGAAATGAAACAGGATACATTACAGCTGATGCCACAGAAACCAAAGATTATGGGAGACTAATATGAACAACTAAGTATAATTAATCAAGAAATAAGCTGCTAGAAATATAGATCTTACCAAGACCGAATCGTGAAGAGAAAGAAAATCTGCATAGGCCAATAATAAGTAATGAAACAGAATCTGTAATCAAAGACCTTCCACCAAGGAAAAGCCCAGGATCAGATGGTTTCACTGATGAGTCCTATCAAACATTTAAGAAAAAGTGATGCCAATTCTTAAACACTCTCAGAAAAAAAAAAAAAAAAACTGAAGAGGAGGGAACACTCCCAAACTCATTTAAAAAAAATTTTTAATGTTTTATTTATTTTTGAGAGATAGAGACAGCATGAGCTGGGGGGGTGGGGGTTCAGAGAGAGAGGGAGAATCCAAAGTAGACTCCAGGCTGTGAGCTAGCTGTCAGTATAGAGCAGGATGCGGGGCTCTAACCCACAGACTGTGAGATGATGACCAGAGCCGAAGTTGGACACTTAACCAACTGAGCCACCCAGGAGACCCACCAAACTCATTTTTAAGACCAGCATTACCTTGATACCAAAGCAACATAGGGACACTAAAAGAAAACTACAGGCCCATATCTCTGATGAGCACATATGGGAAAATTCTGAACATTAGCAAACCAAACACAACAGCGTTTTAAAAGACTAATACACTATCATCAAGAGGAATATATCCCTGGGATGCAAGGAAGGTTCAATGTATGCAAATCAGTAAAGGTTCTACATCAAAGTCATAGAATGATAAAAAATCAGTGTTATTTTGTGTTTTTTTAATTAAAAAAAATTTTTATGTCTTTATTTTGACAGACAGAGACAGAGAGCGAGCAGGGGAGGGGCAGAGAGAGAGGGAGACACAGAATCCGAAGCAGGCTCCAGTCTCTGAACTGTCAGCACAGAGCCTGATGCAGGGCTCGAACCCATGGCCTGTGAGATCATGACCTGAGCCAGTCAACACTTAACAAGCTGAGCCATCCCGGTGCATCTAGAGTTATTTTGATAAATGCAAAAAATAACATGAGAGAATATAAATTCTTTCATGACAAAAGAAACTTTTAATAAAGTGAGTAAAGAAAGAATGTACCATGGGCGCCTGGGTGGCTTAGTCAGTTGAGCATCCAACTTCGGCTCAGGTCATAATCTCAAGGTTAGTGGGTTCGAGCCCACATCAGGTTCCATGCTGGCAGCTAAGAGCCTGGAGTCGGCTTCAGATTCTGTCTCTCCCTTTTTATCTGCCCCTCCCGCACTCATGCTCTGTCTCTCTCTGTCTCAAAAATAAACTATAAAAAAAATTTTAAAAATGAATGTACCTGAATATTAAAAAAGGCCCTATCTGATAAGCTCTCACCTAACAACAAAGTAAAAACTAAAAATCTAAAATTTATTTTCCCTAAAATTAGGAACAGGTCAAGGCTATTCGTTCTCACCATTCTTATTCAACATAGTAATGAAAATCCTAACCAGAGAAATTAGGCAAGAAAAATAAAGACATCCGAAATAATCTACAAATTAAGTAAAGTTGAAGAATGCAGGTCAATATACACTACTTGGTTTTGTTTCTTTACACTAACAAAAGAGTATCTGAAAAAGAAATAAGGAAACAATTTATTACAATAATCAAAAACAATAAAATTCTTTGAAATAAATGCAACCAGGAAGTGAAAGATCTATACACTGAAAACTCTAAAATTACTGAAATAAATTGGATACAGAAATAAATGTAAATCTTAAATAGGTGTCCTGAAAAAAATTAATAGTTAAAATTATTATACCCAAAGCCATCGACAGATGCAACAAAATTCCTATCAAAATTCCAAAGTCATTTTTTCAAAGAAACAGAAAATAGAAACAAAATTCATATTGAACCACAAAAGACCCTAAATAGTCAATGCAGTTCTGAGAAAGAAGCTAGAGATATCATAGTTCTTAATATTAAACTATGTTGCAAAGCTACAGTAATCAAAATAGTACAGTACTAGCTTCAAAAATAGACATGTATACCAAAGGAACTGAATCTACAGTCCAGAAATAAATTTATAAAATAAATAATAAACTCCTGTACACACCATCTAATAATGTTTGACAGAGGAGCCAACAGTACCCAATGGGGAAATAAACTCTCTTCAATAATGGTGTTGGGAAAACCAGAAACACATATACAAAAAAAAAAAGAAAAGAAATTGGACCCCTATTTTACAACACTCATAAAAATTAAATGAAAATGAATTAAAGACTTAAATATAAGACTTGAAACTATAAAGCAAAGAAAAACAGAGGAAAAAGTCTTTTGGTCGTTAAACTTGACAATGATTTTTTGGATATGACACGAAAGCACAAAGAGCAAAAGCAAAAATTCATGGAGCCTACATCCAACTAAAATTTTCCATACAGCAAAGGAAACCAACAGAATGAAAGGGCAACCAAGAGAATGGGAGAAAATATCTGTAAACTATCTGATATGTGGTTAACATCCAATATGTAGAAATAAATTATAAACATCAATACCAAACCAAACATAATCAATAGTTTGATTAGATAATGAACAGAGGACCTGAATAGATATTTTTCCAAAAGAAGGCATACAAATGGGCAACAGTTATATGAAAAGATGATCAACATCACTAATCATAAGGAATGAAAATGAAAATGAAAGCCACAATGCGATATTATCTCTCATCTGTTAGAATGGCTGTTATAAAAAGGCAAGAGATAAAACGTTTTGGCAAGAATGTAGGGCAACAGGAACATTTGTGCATTTTTGGTCAGAATGTAAATGAGTGTATATATAAAAGTGAAATCAGGTTCTCAAAGAGATAGATGTACTCAATTTCACTGCAGTATTACTCACAATAGCCAAGACATGGTAACATCCTAAATGTCCACTTATAAACAGATGAAGATATAGATATACATAGATAGGTCAAATGAGATAGTCAGCCACAAGTAAAAAAGGAAATCCTGACATTTGTGACAAACAAGAACTGACCTTGAAGGCATTATGTTAAGTAAAATAAGTTAGAGAGAAAAAGACAAATACTGTGAGATCTCCTTTATATGCAGACTCTAACAGAGCTGAACTCCTAGAAATGTAGGAGAATGGTGGTTGCCAGGGGCTAGAGTGTGGAGGGGAGATGTTCATCGAAGGGTACAAACTTCCTATTATAAGATGAAAAAGTTCTGGGCATCTAATGCACAGCATGGTGACTATAGTTAACAATACTATAGTTTATACTTGAAAGTTGCTAAGTGAGATCTTGAATGTCCTCAACACACACACACTATGATAATTATATGAGATGATGGATGTGCTCATTTTGCAATTAAGTATCAAATCAACATGTTACACACCTTATATTTACACAATGTTATATGTCAATTGTATCTCAATACTGCCTGGAGGGGAGCAGTATACTTAAGACATCAGACAGTTGAAGGGAAGGGAATTACCTTTCACATATAAGATAAAAGACATCCTTGACCTAAATTTGACCAAGTTCTCAAAAAGTTTTAATCAAGGAATATACTCTTAAAGCATGATTGAAAATCTAAGATATTACTTTCCCCTTAGTTCACTGAAAAAGATACTATTCTTCAGTGAGTCCAGAATTAAGACAGCAATTTTAACATCATTCACAATACAAAAACTATCTACTGTGGTTGTTAAATCATTTAGTCAGTGAACTGGATTTTTAGTTTTGCTTGTATTTAGGGCAGAAAATCATGGTCAGTGGCCTGGAAAGCAAATTATTATTTACAGATTGTTTAGTACTCTTAATTTCAATAAAATGGGGGGAAAATGTTCCTGAAACAAAAAGCAAGTGCTCTGGAGACACTAAAGCTTTAAATGAGATGAAGATTCATTGATTACACTTCTCTATCAGTTTTTATCTACAGTCAAATGTTGTGGAATCAGAGTTCATTGAGTTTCCCCCTTGCGTGTAATTATTCTGGCCCCAGGCAGATCAGAAAAGGGGTCCAGGTTTGTCTTCCTTGCTCTTCCCTTTGTTCAGCAGACCCCTCATCCATCAGCACTCACACTGCACAACTGAATCCCACCCTCCCAACTGCCTTTACTTCATTCTCTATGATCTCCTAAACAAAGAAGTTATTGTAAAACCACCACATATTTGTTTCATCTGGATAACCCAGGGTTACCTAAAATTTTAGGACTAATTTCAGTGCACCATTTTGTTCATTCCTAAAAGTTCTGGAGATTGATCCATCTTCTCCTTTCTCCTTAATTTTATAGACTTTCTACTTTTTACTTCCAATAGTCTGTATGCTCAAGATTGGTTACAGGTGTGAATATAAAAAATTATTCCAGAAATTTTTCAAAATTTTTATCATTTATACTTTTATCCCTTTAATATAATGGAATGCATTTTAAATATGCTTCCAGGTATTATAGTAGGCAATGCATACACACACAGGTACATATGTGTGTCTGCTGGGAGATGCACCAGCCTCGCAGGATGACAGTCACAGCAAGGAAATCGAATCATTTGCACAGCTCCTGCCATGAGAAACAAAAACTGGTTATCTCCTTCTGCTACTACTGGCTCATGTTGGAAATGAGCTTGCTGGTATTGACCAGACCTCACAATATTCCAAATCAGACTGATATTCCACCACACGGATTCCTCATAAGGAAAAGCATATTCCTGTCTTTTCTAAAGAGATTTTAGATGAAAGCACTGTGGATGATTGTCAAAAGGCTCTTCCTATGGGCCTTGCAGATCCAAGACTTAGATAATAAAGGGGGTTAAGAACACAAGAGTTACAATTGAGCCTGGCCCTGAGACAAAGAGCCTAATTTAGAGTTAAGAACAGATATCCATGCCCACCCAATTGTTTCTCTGTGTGGAGCACTGACCCCCAAGGCATCTTTGTTGATCAGTATTTGGAGTGACTTATTCTGGCCTTGAATATGCTGACTGCACCCTGTGAAGGAAACTGTTGTAGGAAATTCTTCTCTTGTGGCTATAGGAGCAAACATTTGTGTTTCCTGAAAGACCTGTTTTTCTTAATACTTCCCCTTAAACAAACAAGCTATTGACCCCTGCTCACAAAGAAGTAACTTCACCCTTTTTATGCTAAAAACATTGTCTTGTATGCTAAAGATAGCTTCCTTCCCCATAGGATAAGCATCTAAATCACCTACCTCAATCACTATTGATAAAGGTTATGCAGGAGTCTTCTACAAATCTATGTTCTGGGAAATTCTTATATATCAGAGAAGTTTGTCATCAGAAATCATTGTCTAAGGCAAATGCCACTTCTGTGCCGTCCCCCAAAGACTTAATTATAAAACAAAGTTGAGCCCCCGTCAGAGCAGAGACACCTGCCTGGTGATCAGAAAGAATCTCGGACCTCTCTCATTCTTCCCTTGCCAACACCACCCATCCTGCAGGGACCCCTGGACCCGGCTGGAACTGGCCTTCAGCATGTGTCTATGTATATACATATTGATGTTTTAAAAAAAATATCCTCAATCTTAATTAGTTGCTGGTCTGCTTAAGTTGCATATAAAGAGCAAGTTCTAAAAATGGAAAAATTTGGGGCACCTGGGTGGCTCAGTTAGTTAAGCGTCTGACTTTGGCTCAGGTCATGATCTCATGGTTTGTGGGTTTGAGCCCCACATTGGGCTCTGTGCTGACAGCTAGCTCAGAGCCTGAAGCCTGTTTCAGATTCTGTGACTCCCTCTCTCTCTGACCCTCCCCTGCTCATTCTGTCTCTCTCTCTCTCTCTCTCAGAAATAAAGGCACTGAAAAGATTACCAGTGATATGACAAAGATAAACATGTAGAAATGTTACTTTGGGGACATATTGTATCATAATGCCCCTAAAATATCTATCTATGCACTCCAGGAAAGCATCTATGAACCAAAGAAGAGGAGAAATGTTAACTGTCTTATATGTCTAACAGGACAAAATTAGAGTTGAAGGTTATTCATTGAGAGAGTGCCATGGGAAATCATAAGCACTTTGGACAGAAACACCAAGTGGATACCTTATACAATTAAGAAAGAGACACAAATAGAACTACCCTCAAGGATTGAAAGCAAAGATATATATTACCTTACTCTCTAAGATTATATGATCCAAATGGCTAGTATCTCTAGCCATCTGCCAGAAGCAACTATAAATTTTCCCTGAAGGAAGATAACATTATACTTAGCCTCTAAGCTCCCTCCTCCCATTATATTTAAGAAAATGCAATGTTCATTACTCAAACAAAAACCAATAGGCACATAAGGATAAGAAATGAGACCAAAACCCAAGTAAATAGAAAATAAAAATCATTAATATCTTGAGATAAAGAATTATTACAGAGGCTTTAAAACAACTAAATATGTTAATAGAAATTTAAAAAGTGCTGAAATCTTTGTTAGAGAACAGGAAACATGTTTTTTTGAAAATGAAACTTCTAGAACAGAAAAAGTACAATAAAAAGGAAGAATTTAAGAGGTTTAGTGGTTGTTACATAAGGAAGGCATTGAAAGATGGGTCGTAAGAAAATATTGGGAATGAACCACAGAGAGACAAAATGGTAAAAAAAAAAAAAAAAAGAAAAAAAAAGTACATTAAAGGAGATGGAGATAGTGAGCATATGGATTTTAAAAAGTCTGTGATAGGAACACCTGGGTGGCTTAGTCGGTTAAGCGTCCGACTTTCGCTTGGGTCATGATCTCGCAGTTCGTGGGTTCGAGCCCCGCGTCAGGCTCTGTGCTGACTGCCAGCTCAGAGCCTGGAGCCTGTTTCAGAGTCGGTGACTCCCTCTCTCTCTGACCCTCCCCTGCTCACAGTCTCTCTCTCTCTCCTAGAAATAAATAAAACATTAAAAAAAAATTTAAAAAGTCTGTGATACATATAATTGAAGTTCTAGAATATGACCTTGTATATGGAAAAGAGAGAAGGAGAAGAGGGAGAGAAAGGAAAAGAATAAAGCAGAGCAATACTTGATGTGATAATGGCTGATTTTTTTTTCAAAAGGATGAAAGACATCAAGCTGCAGATTCAAGAAGTTTTATGAAGCATGTTCCATAGAGTGTACTGGCACCTGGCAAATAAGAAGGGCAGAAGACTTATTACATAAATTATTTATGGACTCTTTCAATCATATTATTTATAGGATAAGGATGATTCAGAAAGTAGTCTGGGCAATATGATAGCCATAGTAATAAACTTCAATAGACTACTTATTGTATTATCTCATCTAACTCACCAATAGTACAGACAGTATAGTATTTTTTCATCTAAGCTTCAAATGAGAAAGATTGAGTACTGTTTATTTTTTTAAGTTCACACAGTTGCATGGACTGCAACTGCAATCCATGTTTGACATAACAACCCAAACTCTAAGCCATTCCATTCTACAACATTTCAATCATGCTAACATAAAATTTTTTATTTGGTCCAATAAATTATGGCTGTCAAGGTCTATCATGCCACAAATACTATTATGTATCCACATAAGTGCTGTAATTTTTTTTATTATTCACTCACATATCCATAAACTCAACATACATTTATTTAGTACATTCAATGACCTATATACTTCTAGGCATTTGAGTTGCATTGGTGTCAACAACTGTAAAGGGTCTTAAATTTTTCCCTACTTGGAAGATAATCAGTTAACCTTCCATGATTTTATAAAGAAGGTCAAGAAACAACTCCTGGACCAAAGATAAAAAAAAAAAAAGGTTTTATTCCCAGCACAGCAGCCAATATAAATGTGTGTTAGCACCAGTTCCCGTTACCCTGTAAGCCATATAGACAAGGAATGACTTCAGAGGACTCTATGCACACAGTGCATTTGTGTCACTGCTTAAAAAAGCTGGAAATTGGTAACATCCAACATCTTACAATAGGATGCCAGCAACCATGCCCAACTTTTGACCTGCAGAGAGATACTATAATATACACAAAAACTTGCCCCTCCACTTTCAAGGGAGATACTATGATTTCTTCTAAGAGTGTTTGCTATATAAACAATACTTGAAAAGGTAATCCAGATTGAAAGGCTATGGTACCTGTGTTTAGAAGAAGTGTGGAAATGAAAATGACTCATTGAGAACTCAGTAATAATGAACAAAAGTTCTTTCTTGTGAAGCTTACATTCTAAGACAAAAAATGTAAATATAATAGTGAGTTTTTAGATTAAATGTGACCAATGCTGGAGGGGAAAAAAGCATAGATAAAGGAGACTGGGAGATTTAGGGAGTGTAATATAAATTTTGGTTGATCAGAGTAGGCCTAAATGAGAATGCATGATGGACAAAGAATTAAAACCTTGAAGGAAAAATTTTTCCTGAATACAGCATTTTCACTTGCTTTTATATTAATTTTGCTGTTCTTGGGAAAAATGAATACACTTAAAATAAAACATGTTCATAATTTTGTTGATTGTAGATCAAGATGTCACATGAGAATGATTAAGACCTCTCCTAACCAGCATTTCTGTACATGCAGTTTACTAGAGATAGAAGTATATACATATATTTGGGGTTTGATTAACAACTATATTCAAGTCTCCAAAAAGTTGCTCTGGGAAAGCAATTTTGAATTCCCAAAGTACGTCAGCCTATTTTATAATCCTTTTGGTACCCATTTTCTTGTAAATGAGAAACAAATTTCCTCAAGAGAAGTAAACAAACACAACCTCACTTCAAGTCCCCAGAGATTCAGGTTGACTTTGCAAGCCAAGGCCCATGAGGTGAAAATATTTCTAATCTTGGCAATGTACATTTTCCTTGCTTGTGATATCTTTTCTGGTCATTACCCATGGTGCTCTCTCAACTCATAGTTAATTCATCCAAACTGGCTTATCCCCTGGGACACAATAGGGAAGTTTGGGCCTACTTAATGGCTGTAGGAAATGCTATTCTGTGTATTTTGAGGGAGGTGGAAAATGATGGTTTGGATATTCTAAAATCCTGCAATCCCTTGAGGACAATATACTTCACATAAGGCATGATGATAAAAAGATACAACAGATTTTTACACTGATCACCGAAGTGAATTCGGAGACATAATATCATTATAGGAAATTTACACCACCATGTGATGGGACAGCATATACACAGCTTATATAAATATCTGAATTAGGTTTAAAGATTTGGTGAAAATTAATGTGCTTCATATAACTTACTAAAATAAATTTCCTGCTGACTCAGCACCTGGAAGATTACTTGCTTGACAGAGAGTGTAAGAAATATAGTTCTGGGTATAGAAATACCGTTTTATCACTTATTTTTCAAAATAAAGTTATATTTATAGCCAGGAGTTTTACAAACTCTACAGATTTTGTAGCTGCTAACTCCTAAAATGATTGCCTAAGGGAACAATATTTCTGAAGTGTAAATTAGGCTTTTGGTTTCTGTCAAAAGTTGCATCAGTATTTTCTTACACATATGGACAAACTGATGTGCATTCTCAGAAAAATGTACCTACCACTTATCACAGAGAAACATGGAAACCTAGTTTCATCTTTAAATCATGAAAATGACACAATGGTAGATATTGTTGAATAAAGGCATGTAAAGTTAATTTGCATTCCAGCTTATTAACTATTTTACCTTTTGTGGAACAGAATCTTGGCAATTGCATTATATTCTATAGTAGAATTTAGGCATTTAGGAATTAATTTTGGAAAATCAAACCTACTGTTTAAAGAACACAGTTTTCAAATTTTTGAATATTTTTCAATATTATATCACATCTCAACAAACTCTGAAATAACCCACTGGAATACAGTTTGCATTCATAAACATGAGACACAGGTAAAGGATGAAGATATGTTTGATATATTAGAAGACAACTCTACTTCAAGAAAGATAACTTTAAAAAAAGATTGCCTGACCACTGAGTTGGGGCGCTGGAAATTTTCAAATATTATAATCTGAGGAAAATGCAGGAAAAAAGAAACTGCCTGGGAATTGTACAGGGCCACCCAAGGATGCAGTGCCTGAGAGAAGGGGAACTCACGAAGTACAACTCATGATCATCCTTTTCTTCTGTCTGCAGAATATTTCCAAATAGCTATTGTAAGCTGGAGTCCAAGTAGAGAATGGTAATTTGGCTGAGCTAAAGAATCAGAAATCAGAATTTGTAGGTACTAAAGGGGATGGCATTGGTGGAGCACAGAACTGGAGAGTTAAGTTTTCCTCTACCCCACCTCCCCACCCCAGCTCGAGTCTAGGTTTACATGCACAGAGTGAGACCGCACAAGGCTTACCAGAAAACAGTTGCTACAGGGTTAAAAATTCAATGGAGGAAAGACCTGCCCCACCCAGGACGGAAAAATTTCTTAACACTTAGAACAAATTGAGACACAAAAAAGCTTGCCCTTAGGAATAAGAATGCTCTCAGGAGCATGGGCTACCCATTATGTCTTCAAGGCAAACTCAGATGGTCTAAGGAAAGACCAAGTCTGGAGTTTGAGTCCTGTTATAGAGACAAATTTATTCTGACAAAGGCTAAAACCAACAGTATACAATGCAAGCTAATCAGCAAGTTATTGAACTGCCTAATACAACAAAACTCAGAAACCTTCAGAGGAAGACAATGGGTATAGCGTCTCTAAATCAGTTCATAATTAATGTCTGGTACACATAAAATTAGACATGGAAAGAAACAGAAAAGTCTAATCCATAATGAAGAGGAGTTCACTAACAGGAAGAAAAACAACCCTATAAAAAGTATAAGTGAAATGCAATCATATAAAAAAAGAAAATATATTTATGATGTATTTTCAATAAGCATATCCATCATCATCATTAGTTATAGAAGAAATGCAAATTAAAGCTACAATTACTACTTTACACTAAAATAAAAATACAATAATGCTAAGATTGGCAAAGACGTAGTGTAACTGGAAAAGTCATGCTTTGCTGGGGATTATGTAAAATACTATAATGAAGTGCAAAACAGTTTGATAGTTTCTTATACATTTACAATAGTATTCACCAATTTGACTCACTGATAGGTTATCCTAAAGGAAAGAGGACTTATGTCCACAAAGGCTGTGATGAGAAGCAACAATCAGCAATCAGTAAACAGATCCTCACTATTTAGAGGACAGAGTCCTTTTAGCCCACTCTTGCATTTTTTTTTTTTTAAATGTTTTATTTATTTCTAGGAGAGAGAGAGAGACAGCGTGAGCAGGGGAGGGTCAGAGAGAGAGGGAGTCACAGACCGAAACAGGCTCCAGGCTCCGAGCTGGCAGCCAGCACAGAGCCCGACGCGGGGCTCGGACCCACGAACTGTGAGATCATGACCCAAGCGAAAGTCGGATGCCCAACCGACTAAGCCACCCAGGCGCCCCCAATCTTGCATGTTTTAAAAGCCATGTTGTGAAGCAGCTCTAAGAACATGTGCACAGCTGTCTGCCCTGTGGCTGGTGGTAGGGGATTGGTAGCTGCTACTGTGCTAAGAGCTGATATTGTTGGAAATTAACCATAATTTGCCTCTTAAGTCCTTTCTGTAAGTCATAAGCTTCAACAGATTCCAGACTTCCAAAATTGTTACATATTCTGCCACTGTAATTGCTGTCTAGGTGGGGAGACAGTTCCCTGGTGCTTCCCATTCTGCCATCTTCCCAGAATCTTGTTCTCTACATTGATCGGTTTGAGAATGTCAAAAAATCTTTGTATTTCAGGAATAAACAATGTGGCTGTGATGTATTATCCTTTTTACTCTACTTCTTCAATTTGATTTGTTAGCACTTATTTTAGAATTCCTGAGATCATTTTCCTTTCTGTAATATCTTTGTAAGTTTCCTGGAAGCTTCATTAAATGAGTTTTGAGGCGTTCCCTTCTTTCTATTTTCTAAAATACTTTTTTAAGACTGATATTGGGGCGCCTGGGTGGCTCAGTCGGTTAAGAGTCCGACTTTGGCTCAGGTCATGATCTCACAGTTCATGGATTCAAGCCCCGCGACAGGCTCTGTGCTGACAGCTCAGAGCCTGGAGCCCGTTTCAGATTCTGTGTCTCGTTCTCTCTCTGACCCTCCCCTGCTCATGTTGTCTCTGTCTGTCTCTCAAAAATAAACAAAACATTAAAAAAAAAAAAGACTGATGTTATTCTTTAGTAGTTTGAAAGAATTTATTTATGAAGCCATCTAGGCCTGGAGATCTCTTTTTGTGGTAAGTTTTACAATTACATATTCAATTGCTATAATAGATATTTAGATCTCCT